TGGCAATTTGTCTGTAATCTCGTTTGTAGCCCTTCTTTCGAGTGAACTGAACGGTAGTGCATGAACATACTAGGGGGGTCCGGGGGCATGTTCTTCCGGGAAAATTTGAAATTTAGGTCATCTAAAACAGCTGGAAATGCGCCTAAAACTCGCATCCTTCTAATACTGAGCCTCTCTATGGGCATGCACCCGTATTCTGGTATAAACAAATCGTATTCCACGGGGTGCACGTGGCTAAAATTGGCTCTGCACGCGCGAGATCTCGTCGAGTTCTGCCATACTCTGCGGAGGGTACTTGCCAACTTTGTATTATTTTTTTTCTTAATGGCATTGGTAAGTTGCCTAGTCTCCCTCGCAGCCGTTTTTTGGATGTCACGCAACGCTCCCACAAAAGAACGGCTGCTGGAGCGTTGTGTGACATCCAAGGGAGAGGGAGGGAGACTAGTAAGTTGCCATGAAATGGGTTTTTACAATAACGAATGAATGAAGTCAAAAATGCTGTCTATTTTCACCTCGAAATCAGCCTGAATTCGCTGTGGCTTTTAGAACTTGCCTTATGCTCCGCTTCGTTTGTAGTTTCCTTGTTCTTGCAATAAAAATGATAAACAACAATTCATGAAAGCGTATTCAATCTTCACCGTTGAATAGCAACCAGAACTGTTCGAAAAACATGCCGAAAAATTCAGCTTTGTTCATTTAAGTTTATTTTCTTGCTGGATTTTAATAATATTTTGTCACGAAACCCATTTCACCAGGAGGTACTGTTGAGAAACCATCCTCGACTGATAAAATTAATTCTACTACCACATTATTTTCTAATGCTGCTACCCTTGGTAGCTTTGTTTGCTTTGAAGCAGATTATACATACAAAAAAATAAGTTTGCATTCCACCATGTGTATTCGTAATGCTAAAAACTCAATTAATAACTACTGCAATTGAATCAAACACCACTTTGCATCTAATTACCTAAAAATGTTTATGAGTCTTTCCAATTCCGTTTAATCGGAAAACTCTACTTGAATAGCAGGGTGTTTGCAAAGTGAAAGTTGACTGTAACAGAGTCGATCTATTCAGGGGACACTTGACTTGGTCTCGAGTGTGTCCCCTGAAAAGAGATTCCACTGTAATAAATTACCATTTGATTGGGTCATATAAGCTGGGTGAACATGCGCAAAAGCAGCCTTGATAAAGCAGTAACGGGAGAATCATTTTCACTTGCTTCTCATGCTCCCAGCCTGTCCCAACTAATTACAGTGTATTAAGTTTCTACGGGTACATACTGCAAATCTTTTGCCACGTTCCAACTAGTAGAGTCATCAATCCTGGTCTGTTCAGTCTCGTACTCTGCGGATTCCAATTGTTCCTCACGCTTTTTACGCAGCTCATCTAGGTAACTGTTTTCCGTTTTGATCAAGCGATTACACAAAAATTTAAAACTTGAATTCAAATCATTTCTAGTGGAATAGCTCTTCACAATTTTTCCCCTAAAAACCTCCTGCACTGCCCCAGTTCCATTCTCAAAACACATTTGCTGAAGTTTCAGTCTCCTTTCACGGAAAGCAGACAGGTCTTCGTAAAACCCTGAACCTTCCATTTCTATTTTTTTCCAAAATGTTGCATTGAAGTAAGTGAATAACAGAACGTCTGCCTTATTCCACCGTTTTATGTTTTCCTTTACTCTGTCACTTAGATAAAAAGCCTTTTCCTTGTCTAGTCGTTCGTTTACCTTCACGTTCAAAATATCATCTATTTCCCAACACAACAGCCGCTTCAACAATATTAATGATTCGTCAAAGTAATCCATAATCATAACCAAATCAAACTCTTTGTTTAGAAAGTTAATATACTTGGTAACAGCTGTATAACTTTGGAAATACTTTTGGCTAAGACCCAAATCAAACATCATTGGGTTTCTTGCATTGATAATCGCTGATGACGGTCTTTCTAGAAATTTCTCAAGTGAAACCACAGGATCGTCTCCTAGGCCTAAAGATGTTCCCATGTGGTAATAGTTGAAGAGAGACTCAAAAGTATCCACCGGATTTCTAATAATTGTTACGTACTTACTAAATTCTCGCGGAAAAAGCCAGTTCAAGGGTTTTTTGTTAAATACTGTATGGCTGCACAAAATGTTAGGTTGTCTGTAGAAAGGAAGAAGTTGAGATACGTGGAATCTTTGTGGCCAGGCTAGATGACTGGCCCCAAGAGCAAATGTGAGATTCCTGCTGTCTCCATATCGAAAGAGGATGTTGACGATAGTTGATCCACCAGTCTTATGTGTCTTAAGGAACATAATGTGATTGTGTGGAACACATCTTGACGTCGGGTGATTGGAAGGAAGCCATTTTGACGTCGGATGACTATAATTTATATTCCTGTAGAAATAATCGATAAGAAACAAAGTCGTTTCAGATCCGAAAATGACCTACCTTCTTTAGCCCTAGGCCAATAGGATTATGAATACAAGGTTGTCCGTAAATTATGTGTTTGTAGTTGTGTTGTTCTGGCCCGGCTTTGAATCAGGTAAGGGAGTAAACTGAGCGGTACCTTCTGGCATAAAATTTTTGCAGGTTCTAATTTTTGCGATTTTCCAGCGATCCGCAAAAAAATTAAGTTTTATCGCAAACATTGTTTCCGCAAAAATTTACTCCAGAGTAAATATTCTCTAACTTAAATTCGCTACACAAAAATACACTACTAAGAAATTGTGTCTGTACAATTGCAACTTGCCTCTTTCATTCAGGAACAAAACGGTATACAGTGAATTACTAGTTTTACATAGGGTACGCATATCATATCGCCTATTGTTTGAAAGTATGTATAAATATTTAACAACAATGAAAATATTATCAATGCTGGGTACCGGGTACTTTCTGGAAATCGCAAAAATTAATTTCCAGCAAGAAAAACCAATTTGTCCTCATCGCAAAAATTAGTTCCCGCAAAACACAAAAAATGGTCAATCCGCAAAAATAAACTTTCGCAAAAATTTCATGCCGCACGGTATATTTAACAATTATTCCTCTAGCCGGAATGGGTTCTGAGGCAATAGCACATTCGGCCTTCGGCCTCATGGGCTATTGACTCAGTGGCCATGAGGGCGAGAGGAGTAATTGTTTTAGTAATATCCAACTAGTTGGTCAAAAATATCGAGACAAAACAACTTAGCTAGTTAAAGCTAGAGTTTTATCCTATATTGCCGGCGAAAAGCCTGCGCTTTTCGCTACTAGGCGGCTATAACATATAGCCTAGTAGTAGCTCAACCAATCAGAACGCAGCATTGATACTAGACCACTAGCTGGATTTTACTAAAAGGTTATATGCAGCCTAAACCACAGGGGGCCAGAAACACAACAGCCTACTGGAAGCCAAATAAGAACGGTTTGTATGGGAATTTATCGTAAGATCGATAAAACGGTTAAAATTTACATAAACAGCTAGTAAAGCTGATTAACCTGGGATCAGGCTCTGTTTTCGTTTCCCTTCATAAATAAAATTCTAGCGAGAAAGGCGAAACGCGAATTTTAGCGGGACCAGGTAAGAGAGAATTCATTGGAAGCTGCCAAAATTGGACCTGATCTCAGGTTATTAAAGTATACTTATTATTCATTCAAAATATTTCTCCGTTTCTGATTGGCTGAAGGCACACGCATAATTCACCATAACCGGCTACTGTTGACCAAATTTGAAAGAATCTTGCGATTAATCAACCCACGTCAAAAGTGCAGCACAGTTGCAGTTTAATGCACCGTTAGCCGAGAAGACCTGGGGACGAGGTTGATTTGTTTTGGTTGTGAAAAGAAAAATGACCGAACAGTCGGCGGAACATTTTACTCGTTTCACGAAGAAGTATTGTCTCAAAACATAGCAAGAAGACAACTCGACGGACAACTTCGCTATTTGGAGCATATTTGCAGACCTGAACAGCCCTGAACATGCACTATTGAGGTGAACTTAACGTCGACAAAGGTAAGCACGTTTTTGCTTGTTTTTAAACTAGGAATTATTTTGAATGAATAATAAAGCAATTAAAGAATTGTGCTTTCGTAGGATATATAACAATTATTCACCGAAGTGGAGGTGACTAGTCCGTTATATTTACCGAGCTGCGTGGCAGCGAGGTAAATACCACCACTAGCCACCGACACTGAGGTGAATAATTGTTTTTAGTATATACTAAAACAGTAGTGGATAGTGTTTTCCGCGCTCTGATTGGCTACTCAATCAGCGAATATCCTGCACTATTCACTGATTCACCTCCAGTTCAGTATATACTAAAAAGAATTATGCAGATCTCGGAAGGTGTTAGCCACCTCGGCCGATAACGCCCTCCTCGATCTGTATAATTCTTCATTTCCTACTCAGCCTCATTCATTAATTGCTAAATACTGACCTCATAAAGAGTTGTGTCAGTTTGTGTTATTTAAATGTGTAATCAAATGGTGACGAGTGAAATTAGGGAATAATTTCACGCGCGTTTTGTCCAAATCCTTAAAAATTTCCTGAGCCTTTAGGCGAGGGAAAATATTAGGATTTGGACAAAACGCAAGTGAAATTATTCCCTAATTTCACGAGTATACCATTTGATTACACATACTAATATCATAGGTGACGAATTACGTTAGCAATCGAGGATTTTTGACTTGTTTATCCTGGATCGTATCTATTGATCGTGAACTCCACTCTCTCAAACGTTTAGAGCTAAAATTTGGCTTAAGTTTTCAGAATTTTTCGACAACATACCTCTAAGAATCCTTCTTTATGTGCTCTTTCGTGTGTTCAGGTTTTCTAAAGCGTCTTTTTATGCCCTGACATCTTCATTCATGACATTTTAAAACTTCTTCGCCATCTTGAAACGGAGACGTACGGCAGGTTGCCGTGGCAATTTAGTAATTTCACATGTGAAATTACAAATTAACGCTGAAATTTCGCGCCAAAATTAAGGAGTAATTCGTCACCTATGATATTATCTTAAAAATTAACTGTTCTCTGCCCTATAAACGCCGTTTTAGCAAGACATTAAAACTTGCTAAAACAGCGTTTATACTGAGTACAGGAAAAATTTAAGAAAACAACACAGACACAACTTTTTATGAGGTATGTATACTTTAATCGCTTTTTAGTACATTTTAACCATTTTATCGATCTTACGATATATTCCGATACAAATCCTTATAATTTGGCTTCCAATTGGCTGTTGTGAGCGCCCCATGCCTAAACAAGTCTTCCGAAAGGTACATGAGAAACCTATTATGGAGCTAAACAACAGCGACGGAAACAAGATCGTCTAAAAAGCAGTAAGTTTTTATGCAAAACATCATCTCCACACCTTTGTTGACGTCATTCTACAACGACGACGTGAAACTTTGGAATTTTCTATTTTATGGACGACGAACTCCTTTAAAATGCACGTCTAGAAAAATCCGCAACGTTTTACAAATTGAACAAGATGGAGTAAAAGCGATAAAGTATAAAACAGCCCAAATTCCAATTTTACGTTACATTCTCACTGCCATCGCTGCCATGGTTGCCCATTAAGTTTCCTATTATTAACAGCGGTATTGGCGTACCCGGTGATAGTACGGATCGCTCGCGGATAATGTCAGCATTCGCCTAATATTTCGCGGTAAATTTACTTCTTTAAGTTAGTTTAGGAGGTACACAAGGGGTGACACCGTACCTTTTTCTCCAGTTTGCCGCTTTTGAAAATTTTTCGATTACAGCGATAAAGACGTACACGGTGATACGACAGGTAGATATGGGTAACGTTAGCAGTCGCCTAATCTTTCGCAGTAAAATCTACTTCCTTAAGTTAGCTAAGGAGGTACGGACGGCTGACACCTTTCGCTCATGTTGCCGCTTTTTAAAATTTCTTTCGTCAGTACAAAACAGCCCAAATTCCAATTTTACGTTACATTCGCGCTACCATCGCTGCCATGGTTACATAATCTACCTATTATTAATAGCGGTATTGGCGTACACGATGATAGGACGGATCGCTCGCGAATAACGATAGCATTCGTCTAATATGAATGTGATAATTTTTGAACACTCTTGTAAAGCGCTATTAGACATAACTGGAAATGCGCTGTATAAATAAATTATTATTATTATTATTATAAATATTTCGAGGTAAATTTACTTCTATAGTTAGTTTAGGAGGTACACAAGGGGTGACACCGTACTCTCCAGTTTGCCGCTTTTGAAAATTTTTCGATTACAGCGATAGGGACGTACACGGTGATACGACGGGTAGATACGGGTAACATTAGCAGTCGCCTAATCGTTCGCAGTAAAATCTACTTCCTTAAGTTAGCTAAGGAGTTACAGACGGGCTGACACCTTTCTCTCATGTTGCCGCTTTTTAAAATTTCTTTGGTCACAATTACCGTAAAAGAAAAAACAACCTGCCTCCGTTGATGCATTTTTACCCTCTATCACATGAGGATGATTGAGTAAAATCATGTATAAATAATGTTTTGCTTAACAAGTGTCTAAGTCGCTTGTCAATCGTATGAAGCAGAAAGAAGTAGAAATTACAAATTTAAAAATGTGTAAGGTTTTGCTCACCTTAGGTTAGTACTATTGATGTTCCACACATGCGACCAACGTATGTAGATAAGGCACAAAGTAAAAATTATGGATAGTGACAAAAGCCAAAAATGGTGACTGCTGAATCGAATCGGCTCTTTTGGCATTTTTTCCCTTGTTCCCGTACTCAACCCAAGCCACACTGCTGCGCAAAATTGCCGATCTATATCTTTCTGTATGATGAATAAAACGATGACGGGTTCATAGAGAACCTATCTTGCGTAAAAAGTGAAGTTAAATTATAGGGTCTGGATGGGGGGCGGGGTATAGATGTCACTTGTCAGTTAAGCTGTTGGCCATTTGTCAGTTGTCAGTAAATTTTAGACTTTTTGTCAGTTGTCAGTTAAATAGTCATTAATGGTTAACTATTAAACTTATTTGGATATTTTTGATGCGAAATTTACCTTAACATGCACATAATGTAAAGGAAACATTAAATTCGAAAACTGATTTAATAGTACCTTACTTTTTATCAGTTTTGCTATTGTAAGCATTTCAAGTGGCCCTCCATTTCTCAAGTCTTGTGTTACTCTCCTCCACTCAAACGTTTTTGCTGGCCACAGTCCAACATTTCCAACCATTAAGCCAATCAAAAAGTATACCTTCAGAATCTTCATTATTTGACGCAGATCGTAAGAAAGACCAAAAAAGAACCGTATCTGAATCATCTCGGTAAAAACTTACAATTGCTTTCTACTTGCTGCTCTCATTAGCAGCCAAGGGCCTATTCAAATCTACATTGCTGCATGCCTAATGATATGTATTCGATCAGCTTGAAAAATGTTTCAATGGATAAAATAGCTTTAAATACATATGCATCAAATTCAAGAAAAATGAGGTAATAAACATTTCGTAACTACCTCGCGTATGAATCACTCACTGCTCATTACGCATGCAGACGATGTATAGATGAATCTAAAACAGACAACTACCAACTGATTTAACCTTCGATTTATACCGATGTAGAGATCGATGGGTGGATTCATTTGCAACATATGGGTGTAGTTGTCGCACTTGCCTAACTGGAATTTTTCATTGTTTTTTAGCTTAAAAACAATAAAAAATACCGAGGGGCAAATAAAAATTTTGTCGCTGGCGAGCAACATTATTATATGAGTAGGCCTTGACACACATATCACGTAAAATCGCCTAAATATCTTTCCGGAAATTCTCAAAAAAATGTCTAAATATCTCGAAATATCTCATATTTTTGTTTTAAAAATAAGCCGACTTTGACTCCCTTAGGCCAAAATATGGACCATATCACTAGACACTAGTCACTTTATGACCATGGTTGATATCCATCTAAACATGGAATCTTTGCCACCTTTGGAGCCACAAGAGTTTTATTTTTTAAGGCAATTTACGGTCACATAGTTCAAAGTCTGTATAGGATGTTTCCGACTTCTGTTAAGTTTTCAGTCTCAGAGATTTGCATTTGTATTTGTATTTTATTTTTAACTCCGTCCTATAGATAATACATTAGTTGTACAATATCAATTAGTACAAGGTTGATTAAACTACGTGTACATAATAATAGAAAAAAGAAAGTTAGAATGGAGAAGGGCACATTATAGAAAACTAATTATGCACGCACGCACACACACACGTACACAAGTCAATATTGAGCTAGATAATATTTTTTAAGTCCCTTTTTGAACATATTCAAATAAAAGACACCAACACGAGAAACTAAATTGTTTAAACACACAAAAAAGGAAACAAATAACACAAAACTATCCAGCTTCAAAAGACGCGGACATCATCATCACTGACCGCTGACCGCTTCTTCAGGTTGTATGTTATTCTCTTAAAGTAGAGCGGATATCTGTATTAATAGGAAGGATTGTTACTCTGTCATAGTCATAGTAGTCATACACATGATAGACGTACCAACTGTTTAACCCATTAGTGAGAAAACATTAAACTTTGCATCCATGTTGTTTTGAAAGTTGCCTTATTTCCATAGTACTAGTGTAGACAATCTCTGACATGCTCATTTTCAGCTCCCACTGGAAAAAATTTTGGCCTAAGGGATTCAAAATCGGCTTATTTTTAAAACAAAAATACGAGGTATTTAGACATTTTGTGGGGATATTTAGACATTTTTTTTGAGAATTTCCGAAAAGATATTTAGGCGATTTTACGTGATATTTGTGTCAAGGCCTACCCTGCCTAGTCATCTCCGCCAATATCCTGCTTTAAATTCTGTTATGAAGAACCTGTATGCTATTACTTCTCGTCAAATTCCACGTTTCAATCACAGGGAACCCGAACACCGTATTAGCTAATAGAATAATTAGCTGTATTTATCCTGTATTAGCTAATAAAATAATAATATGTATTTACCTTTGTTCCTGTGTCTTTATGAGTCGGTTTGGAAGGGATTTGAATCCGATCAGAGACGGTTAACATTGCTCGCAAATAAGCACGCTTAAGTTGCGCTTCGTCTCACATTGTTCACCTTAAATTAAAACCCGAGATCATCTCCCAAGGAGATCGAGAGTTAATAGTTAACATGACAATTAGAAACGTTAGACGAAGCTTGAGCGTCGTATTTACGACGCGCCAGACAACTCGGCAAACGCATTTCATAACCAGCAATGTTAACCGTCTCTGATCGGATTCAAATCCCTTCCAAAACGACTCGTAAAGACACAGGAACAGAGGAAAATGTATCTTATTATTTTATTGACTAATACAGCGTAAATACATACAATGTTTTTCTGTTAGCTAATACAGCGTTCGGGCTCCCTGTGTTTCGATTATAATTTCTGTCATAAATAAATTGCGCACGACGATATCTCAGTTCCACTTCCTTTATTTCCTCTACAACAACAATTTCTTATGTACAGTAAACTCCACACCTTCTCCAGCAACGTGACTAACATCAGTACACTCCCTTACAAAACTTGCTGAAAATGCACAATCTCCACAACATCGCAACATAAACTTTATGAAAAGCAATAACACACAATACAAAAACAAGTATGAAAACACCTACTCTTCCAAACAAAACTAAAATGAGAACAATGATAATGGCGGATGCTTATCACAACGGTTACGAAACCATGGTAACTACGTTATGCTTCGCCTTGTTGACAATCGTATCGCCAAATCGCTTCGTCCTCACGCAACGCAAACGACCGTACCTTTTCCTCGAGCTTCGTCTTTCGAATCACTCTTGCTGCAATAATCTCCAGTAATCGAAATCTCTTCACTCTCAAACTTTATTATCCTTCTCTCTATAAACTCTAGAAAACGTTTATAAAAGTTCTGAAAACATATCGTTTACCTTTGTACGGAAATCAATAGTGCTCTAAAAAAGATTTACTTAAAAAACACGTATATGAGGTCGATCGGGAACTCGGGGGTGGGGAATTGTCCCTTTTTGCGTGCCCGGGGTTG